CTGGGCTGTCCGCGTGGGCCGACGGAGGTTGGAGGCAGAGCCTGGGTGAAACTCGGGGCTGGGGTAAATCGATACGGCGCTGCCGGCTGTTGAAGATCTGCCCCGTCGCAGCCCAGCTCCGGCCTGCGCCGTCCGAGCAGGTCTTCTGGTTAAAGGAGATCGGGAACCGGCGCGGAGCATGAGGTTAGAAACGCCAAGTCCTGGATCCCTGGTGAGCGCTTAACCCATCTGAGCCTCAGTTTCCCCTTTGGCAGCACAGGGAACAAATAACTGCCATTTGTGTGATGAATGAAACTTTCTCAGCTTAGACTGAGGGTCTCCCTCCTGCAACCTTCCCCAGCCACCCCGACTCCTCACCTGCGTGCACGTGGGACGGAGGGACCTAAGACGATGGCGGTCCTGCACCCTTGTTGGGTTTTACAGGAGGGCTGGCTCACGTTCCCCTGCCGGGACGAAACCCCGTGTGCCGGTCGCTAGCAGAGGCAGGGCTGCGTTTGCTGTCTGTGCGGGGGGAGCCTTAAGCGGCTGGGTTTAGGCCGCGGGCGGGGGGGGGGGTTGCGGGCCGCAGCAGCCGTGAGACCCGCTGCAGCGGGGCGGCCGGGTGTGCTGGGTTTAACCTGGCAGGTTGGCCGCGTCCTGCGGTGCGGTGGAGAGGTGCCCAGCAGGACAGGTACCCGGACAAGCAGCAGGTTTTAGGAACTCCTTGCTGTTGTGTAGCATCTTCCCGCAGCAGATCTCGGAGGCTTTACAAGCTGCCTCCACCACTGCCCTCATTTTACAGATGGGGAAACTGAGGCACAGAGCTAGCAACTGGCTTGACCAGCAAGTTGCGGAGCTTTTCTGCACTCCACACCAGTCTCCTCTCTCCTTTTTGGCCATGTGGCGTGGTCTGCTCCGTTCCCTGGGGCAGACACTGTTGTTTTGCCCTCTCCTCCTACCACATTTAACCCTCTCGGTCCCTGGCTGGTGTTCCCAGGTGCCTCTGTCATGCAGCCAGATCCAACCAAGACCAATATGCACCATCAAGGGCTTGAAGATAAGCACGGGCTTGAGCGTGGGGCTGCTGAGCAGACTAGTTCCCACTGGACCACCAGCGCAAGGGTGGTAGCAGGCGGACGGGCCCCTTTTGGGCATGCTGAGCAGCCTCGGGGCAGGTGGGCGGCTGCTGTTTTCTCTCCCTTCCTAGTCCCCGAGGGCTGCGTCCGCTGGAGAGAGCGGCCGCGTGTCGGCAGCGAGCTGGGCTGTAGCCTAATCACCGGGACTCGGTGTGCTCCGTGCTGGCTGGCAGCGCTGCCTGCCGCGCGTGATGCCACCGGTGCCCATCTCGCCAGAGAGCGTCGGGGGGAAAATCTTCGGTGTCACAGAAGGGGGAGGAAATTTGCACCTGCAGATCTGTATCTGCCTCATGCTCCCGCTTGTCCGTCCGTCCGGAGGTGGAGATACCGGATGAGGTGCGGGAGTGAGGGGCAGGAGCAGAGATGCCCAGGAGGGAGCCACAGGTCGTGCTGTGGGACAGAGGGTGGCTGCTGTCCCCGGCGCGTAAATCCACGGCGAACAGGCTCTGATGCATCCCTTTGAAATGCCCGTGGCCCCGCAGGCGGCTGGGAATAAGCCATGTGCTCCAGACCCCGTGTCTCAGCCCCCGCCTCGCAGCGGGCTGGAGTAATTCATCAGCCGGGCGCTGCAGCGTGAGTCATCGCATCCTTTATGGTCGTTTGGTTATGCTTCCCGAACTGCTAATTTCTCTCCGACCTCCTCAATTAGGCAGAGATTAATCACGTTTCTATTCTGAGCGATTTCTCCGCAGCGAGGTTCCCGTTTAGGCCCTCCCGGGCATCCTTCCTGCTGGTGGGTGCTGGGGGGCCGGGGGGGGGGGGGGCGCTGCAGCGTGAGTCATCGCATCCTTTATGGTCGTTTGGTTATGCTTCCCGAACTGCTAATTTCTCTCCGACCTCCTCAATTAGGCAGAGATTAATCACGTTTCTATTCTGAGCGATTTCTCCGCAGCGAGGTTCCCGTTTAGGCCCTCCCGGGCATCCTTCCTGCTGGTGGGTGCTGGGGGGCCGGGGGGGGGGGGGGCTCCACGCCCGCGTGTGTGCACGCAGGTACCGGTCCGACCAGGCAGACTTGTGCCTGTCCTCGCGTCCGAGACCGCCGGGACCGTGTGTCCGTGCACACGTGCTTGCTTAGGGAAGCATCTCCTTGCGTGGGCAGCAATGCGCGCATGCAGACGCTTGTGCGTGTGTATCTTCACGTGCTCGCGTGTTTGGGTGTATCAGTGTGCGGGTGTTGATTCCCCGCCCCAGCGTGAATGAACAGGAGCTGATGAACCAGCCAGAGCCTGTCCGGCTGTGTCCTCCCCGTCCGTCTGTCCTTGGCTGCGAACGCAGGCAGGGCTGGGGGCTGTGACGAGCCTTCTCTCCCCCGGCAGGCGCCTACCTGGTCCCGTACCTGGTCCTGCTCATCATCATCGGCCTCCCCCTGTTCTTCCTGGAGCTGGCAGTGGGGCAGCGGATCCGCCGGGGCAGCATCGGCGTCTGGAATTACATCTGCCCCCGCTTGGGGGGCATCGGATACGCCAGCTGTCTCGTGAGTGTGCCCGTGAGCCCCCCTCCGGCCTGGTTTGCCCAGCTCCGCCAGTGGGTCTGGGGCTGGTGTGGTGAATGATCCCATCCCTGGATCCCAGCAGCCCTGTGCCCTCAGGGTCCCGGCCCGGTGGGAGGTATTTTAGGGACCGTGCTGCTGCCTCGTGGCTAAATATTGTCTCCTCCTTTCTCTCCCCAGGTGTGTTTTTTTGTCGGTCTCTATTACAACGTCATCATTGGCTGGAGCATCTTTTACTTCTTTAAGTCCTTCCAGTACCCTCTTCCCTGGAGCGAGTGCCCCATCGTGAAAAATGGCACGGTGGCCGGTGAGGGATTGCTGCTCGCCTG